CATTCACATACCAGACTGTGAATATAGCCCCTGACACAGACGGTGTTTCAGCGTGACTTTTCCATTCTGCTCCCAAACCTAACTTCAGGCTCATGTTCCAACTATCCTTTTCCCCAAGGAACGTGAACGCACCGCTACAACAGAAGGGCGAGCAGTGCGCATGCTCGCAGGTTTTACATTATTAGAAGCCTATACAGAAGCGTGTACCTATTCGTTAATGGGGAGTCGTCATCTAGTTAGGTAGATATCGAAGTGGTTTTGTGGCACGTCAGCGTTTGCTGGATAACGACCGGCGGCATTCATGTACTGACAGATATTTAAGTTACCGTAAAGCTGTTTGCGTGTCGCTGGAAGAAGGGACGATGTCGGCAAATAAAACAAAGAAGGTCAAAATGGCTACTAAATCTTGTCCTGAATGCGACCAACAGGTAAGAAAATACATCTTTAATTTTTAGGGGTGTGTTACTGATTGCGTTTCGTTTTATTGATACCGATCATGGCAGCCTACGGCAGTTCCCAGCTCTAGAGACGGAAACGGGGTTCAGCGCGAGCCCCGGTGATCACGATGTTTCTCAGAGGGCTCAGCTGGTAGATGCTGATTTTCCGTCGGTATCCATGTCCGTCTTCACGGTTATGGCTTTGTGACTTTGTGTGTATAAAACAGACGGACATGTGATCACATGTTTGCGTTAGTAATGTAAGGGACTGGTTCAAAAGTTCAGTAAATGAGTTGGGCTATAGTAGCGCATTTTCATTACCGTACCTCAGCTACGTGTGATCTTCACTGAGTATTTCGATTGGTTAAAGATAAAAATGAAAAAATCAGCCCTTTGGCTTTGTGAGCATCTCTTCCTGGAACTACGGTAATGGTTCTGGATCACAATGGACTCTTCAAATTAAACCAACAGACTGCAACAAGTCTGCATCAGTAATGGTTAGTTACAGTCGACCCTGTCCTTACACTACCACCACACACAAGCATGTGTTACTGTTTCTTTCTTTTCATTGGTTGTGCGTCTGGCTTACTCTTCTGACCCTGTGAATAAATCCGCTGAAAATAGTTCAGCTCAGCAGTGAAACTGCTGCTGGGAAGATGTAGATGTTACACTTAGGCTATAAAAATATGAAGTGGGTGTAGTACAAATGCCAGCATTTTATCACAGTTTAATTAAATATTCCTAAAAGCAGTTGTAAACAACATGTGCATGGTTTTTAACTTTATACCAAATGCTGTTGCTATTTGTAGTTTGAAAAACTGTAGATGAGTCATTAGTTTTTCTTTCTTGTTCACTGAAAGAAATCTGTCCGTTTTGTGCTTGAAAAAGTGCATTATAGTCAGCTTCAGTGTCTGAAGCTCCTCTTCAATGGTTCATAGGAACCATACCTGTAGATATTCCATTCACCTTTTCTGCTTCCCACAAAGACATGGCGAGTGGAATCAAAGATCTCAAATTTGGACTGATCAGACCAAAGCACAGATTTCCACTGGTCTAATGTTTATTGGCTCAAACAAATCTATTTTGCTTGTTGCTTTTCCTTAGTAGTGGTTTCTTAGCAGCTATTTGACCACAAAGGCCTGATCTGCACAGCCTCTGCTGAACAGTTTATATAGAGATGTGTCTGCTACTGGAATTCTGTGTAGCATTTATCTGGGCTCTAATCTGAGGTG